TGCTTTGGGGGCACTCTAGTGTAGATACAGTGAAGAGCAACAGATGCGATCCCCGCCCTTTTGGAACTCGTGTTCTAGTTGCGGAGACAGAAAACATGAAATTATTACAGATGAGGCTGAGTGCCATGACCGAGAATAGCATAGCAGGGGTTGAGGAGGGGGATCCTTTAGGTTAAGGATTCAGATAAAATCTTTGAGCAGAGACTGGGGAACATGTTCCAGGCAGAAGGAGCCAGTGCAAAAGTGAAGAGGCAGGAAAGAACCTGGCTTAGGTTAGGCCCTGACCACTGAGGTTAGCCAGTGGGATCAAGCATTAGGCCTGACAAGTGGTTTGACAAGTGATTCCAGAAAGTGAGTTAAATTTTGGACATGGTAACTGCTTTACCTGAGAGACACTCAGGTGAAAGAGTCAACAGTCAGTTGGATAAGAGTTTGTCACTCGTGGCAGTGACATGGGCCACCCAGGGAAGTGGTCCTTATACTGAGAAATAAATGTGGACATCATCTTTGTATAGGTCACAGAGCCATGGGGACAGGTGAGAACACTAGAAGAACCTAGTGCAGGGTACACCCGGGACTTAAAGGAATAAATAACATCTAGAAACCAGATAGAGAAGAAAGAACTGGAAAAACTCAGAGAGAGAGAGTGGTATCATAGAAGCCAAGAATGTTTTGAGAAGGAAGGGTGTAAGCTTTAAGATGCTGATGAATCTCGAGAATATGAGACCCAGAAAATGACCATGGAGTTTGGTAACATGGAGGATGGAGGTGATGATGACAGGTTTAAAGAAGTGGTGGGCTTGGGAACCAGGCCCGAGGGCGTTAAAAATGAGGTGATGGGGACCGACAGGTGGCGTAGTGATTGAGGTGCGGAACTTTTAGGTGGTTGACTGTGGTTCTAGTCCCAGACCCAGGTGATTGAACTGCAGGCTGGGTGCGCGTGAGTGCATGCCCAAAATCCCTATAGAAGAATGGAAGAGAAGGGATTGCAGTGTGTCCCACCTGCGGGGAGGTGATTTCTCGCTTTCCGTCTCTCTGTCTCTCTGGCAAGCACATTCACCCTATAGCAAAAATTTCTCAAAAAGAAAACAGACAATGAGGAAGTAGACATAGGAAGTGTTTTTGAGCTCAGTAATCATCTATTAAATGAATGAATGGATGTAGAATGTCAAAGGCCAGGCCAGAACATCAAGTAAAAAAGAGAAATAAGATTCAATTAAAGTATGCCTCTAATTCCCAACTTCATTTTTCTTCTTAGACAAGTTTTTCCTTCAGTGCTTCCTAATTCTGTTGCAGTCTTTATTCCCTACAGTCCCCACATCTGAATAGTCACAAGTCCTCTTGATTGTCTCTTGCCTCTGTTCTATTTTTACTCCCCACCCTCCTCTTTTTGGTATATGTGCTGCCGAAGCGAGCACCCCTCTTTTTTTAATCTCAGGTGAGTTATGTTAACCATACTTCCCAACTTACGGGAAACCAGCAGGGGAACATGTGAAGTTCTTGTGTTTTATTTATTCCTTTAAATCCTATTCAGCACTCCTGTCCCCCTCCTCTCGCGTGGACAACACTTTGGTGTTTACTGTGTATCAGTTTACTTTTGGTGCAGTGTCTGTGAAATATGTGTTACATTGTGTGTGTGTGTGGGTTTATATATATTTTGTGTCACCAGTTCTGAGCCCCCTATATATGAGCTCTGTATTCTTATTCTACTTAGGTGACAAAGAAGCAAATGCTTAGACCATTTACTTCAGTCTTCAGCAGCTAGTCAGTGATGGGGCCAGGTCTGAGTCTGAAATGTGGAAGCTTTCTCGTCTCTCAACTGCTTCATCCCTTCCAGTGATTTTGTTTCTTGCCTTACCACAGTGAGCCCTGGCCACTCACTGCTGTGGTCACACCTCAGAGCTATCGTTAACGACAGCCGCGCACTCTGTCATCTCAATTTTAAGTCCCCCACCTCTCAGAACCATCCTTATCTTTACAACTTAGTGTTGTTTTTTTAATTGCTAGAGGGCATGTGCACTTGTCAGAGAAAGAGTGAGAGAGAGAGTACTCCTCAGAGAGAGGTGGTCATGCTACCGTCCTCTTTCCTCCATTTTTCCTTCCAGTCAGGATTTTGGGCTCACATGAACATGTCCCCCATATGTTTTTCAAGCCACTGGGGCCGGGTTCAATTCACAGCCAGCCATGTGGGGTCCAGCTTTCTTTGCACAGTGCTTAACTGCTGTGCTATGGGGACAGGCCCGCTCCCTCATGTTCTCTGACTTGGACGGGTTTTCAGCCCAGCAGGCCTATATTCCATCACTTTTCACTGCCCCTCACCTCTGTCATGTCCAAGTTCCTCTCAGTTACATTCCGTGGTCAGTCGACATGATCACTCCATTTCCTGCACCCTTAATCTCTGCATGCTTCCCTTCTTACATGCACTTGACAAGAGTCACAGCCCTCGTTAATTCCACCTCTGCCTACACACCTGATGGAGGCAGGGAAAAGGGGTCACGAACGGTCTCAGGGGGCCCCTGGAGCTGCCCGGACAGGCATGCTGCGTTTCCTGGTTCATTCATTCTCCCCTCTCCTAGATGACCGGTTCACACCTCCCCTTCTGTCCAGGACTTCCTCCGTAAGTCTCCCCTGAGCTGTTGAATTTGTTTTACTCTTTTCCTATTGTTTTTGGAGAGGTTTTTGCTATAAGGCATATGTGCTCGCCAGAGATACAGAGAGAAACAGACAGAAAGTGAGAAATCACCCCCCAGGGGGGATGGCCATGCCCTAATCCCTTCTCCTCTATTCTCCTCTTGGGATCTTGGGCACTCGGTGTGAGTTTAAGCCACCAGGTCCAGGACTTGAACTGCGGTCGACTACACATGGGAGTCCAGTGACATAGCCACTTTACCATCTGCTGGTCCCTCGTTTCCTGTTGTACTACGAAACTAAAAACCATGGAAAGAGAGCATGTCCAAGGCCACCATGTGCCTGCTGCCCTGCCTGCGTCTGTGCCTGTGCACTCTGCTTCTCTCCTGTGCTGTGGATGGCTCTCTGTTCTTGACCAAGGCAACCCCTTACCTACTGGAGTATGTTATTCAGCAGCTTTTACCCTTTCTTCTGCATGATCTCTGTGGTAGGCTGAACAACACGCCCCTAAAAATGCCCGGAAATGGTGGGTATATTATCGTGCATGGTAAAAGGGACTTCATATGTATGATTAAATTAATGATCTTATAATGGGGGGGGCTATACGGCATCATCTGGGTGGACCTAATGTAATCAGTGGTTCTTTTTTTTTCTGTAAGAGATTTTTGCTATAGGGTGCACACACTTGCTGGGGAAACAAAGCAAGAAATCAACCCCTATTCTCCGAGGGAGAGTGGCCACGCCATAGTCCCTTCTTCATTCTCCTCTCAGGGTCTGGAGCACACACGCACATGCACCCCTTATGAGTTTAAGTCACTGGGTCTGGGATTTAAACCGTGGCCAATAGTGGGAGTCCAGCAATGTAACCATTACCCCGTCTGCTGGTCCCCACGGTGGTTCTTTTAAGAGGGAGACAGGGCCAGCAGGTGGTGGGTATGGTGGTTAAGGCAGCTGGATCCCACATGGCCATCTGTGTGATTTGTGCCTCAGACCCAGTGACTTGAAAAACCCGCCAGGCATGTGTGAGTGTGCATGCCCAGAATCGCAAATAAAGAATGGAGGAGAGAGGATTGTGGCATGATCATCCCCGCTAGGAGTGCTTTCTTTTCTTCTCTTTCTCCCTCTCTCTGTCTCTACAGTGAGTGCCCAGCATGAGTTTAAGCCACCGGGTCTGGGACTTGAACTGTGATCGACTACATGGGAGTCCAGTGACTATTACGCTATCTGCTGGTCCCCTTTTTTTTTTTTTTTTTTTTAATTTGACTAGAGAGGGTCAGAGTGAGAGAAAGAAAATGAGAAAGCAAACTGCCAGGTCAGGACTTGAACCTTGCTTGACCACGTGGGAATCCAGTGCCCTTAACCACTACGCCATCTGCCCCCCCCATATGTTGTTTTAAACCACCAAGTTTGTGATAATTTGTTAGAGCAGCAGTAGGAAATGGATACATTTTCTGAGCATTAATTCTTTTTACTGTGCTTGATTTGTATTGTTTTCATCTTTAAAAAATGCTTCCTGGGGTCTTAACTACCAGTGTCACAGTTGTGAAATGCTACGCTCTACGAGGCTGGCCCATTTGAGAAGGTTTCACATTTGTGTTTGGAGACCTCCTTGAGTATGTCAGGAACACATGATCCAGGTTGGCTGAAGCTGGGGGTGGATTGTGGCATCAAGACCCCATTGGACAGGACCAGCAGTTAGCGTAATGGCTATGTTGCTGGACTCCCACATAGTCGACCACGGTTTGCATCCCGGCCCAGTGGCGTAAAACTCACGCCGGTGCGTGTGCGTGCGTGCCCAAGATCCCGAGAGGAGAATGGAGGAGAGGGGATTGCGGCGTGACCATCCCCCTGGGGGGTGATTTCTCGCTTTCTGTCTCTCTGTCTCTGTCTGTCTGGCAAGCACTCGCGCCCTATAGCAAAAACCTCTCCAAAAAAAAAAAAAAAAGATCCCATTGGAGGTGCCATCTCTTACACTCATAGAAGGAATCAATTTAAAATAATTTTTTTAATTTAAAAAAAGAAATCTTCGTCTTGACCTCACTTCCTTTTGGATGTCTCTTCCTCTTCTCGCCTGCCTTTTAACAAAAGTCCTTGTAAACCAGACTATGTTTTGCTGTCTCTTCTGTTCTCTCTTGAATCCACTCTAGTTTGGCTTTCTCCTCTGCTATGCTAGGAAAACTGCTCAAGATAACCAGTAATTTCTAGGTTGCTGAATCCATTGATCAATTCTCATCTAATTTAACCTGCCAGGTACATTTGTTATAGTCCATCACATCTTCCTCCCCTGGACTGTTCTCCACTTGGCTTTTGGAGTGCCGTGCTCTTCTGGTGTTCTCCCTCCCTCACTAGCTGCATGGCCTTCGTCTTTTCTGCTGGCTCCTCCTTGCCTGCTCTTTGAACTTTTGAAGTGTTCTAGGACACAGCCTCAGATGCTATTCTTCCGTCTCACTTATTTAGTGACCTCATCTAGTACTGGGGCTTTGAATACCCTCCCTAAGCTGATCATTCCCAAATTTGTAAATCTATGGAAGGGTCTCTCCCCAAATTCTGGGGTTAGATACCCAGCCGTGTGTGTGTGTGTGTGTGTGTGTGTGTGTGTGTGTGTGTGTCTGTCTCTCTCTCTTCCAGTTGGGTGACTGATAAGCATTTCCAGCTTAGCATGACAAAGTAGGCCATGATGCTGCCTCCTTTCCCCCAATGACTTCTCCTGTGGGCTTCCAGATCATGGTAGCTCCATTCCAGCAGTTCTCAGGATAACCTTTGGCATTCTCCCTGAATTTCCTGTTTTCTCTCATGCTCCATATTTAATCCACCTGGAATTCATGCTGGCTGCGTCTTCAGTGTCTATAAAGGGTCTACCCTTTCTTAGATCCTTTGCTGCCACCATCATTCTTGTCCTATAATTGGCAGTTTTGCTCCTTTTTTAGTCTGTTAGCATAATAGCCAGAGAGATCTTTTTATATTTTTTAAAGAATTATTTTATTTAATTTTATTTATATTTATTTATTTTAATTTGACCAGAGAGGGACAGAGAGAGAGAGAAAGTGAGAAAGTGAGAAAACAAGCTGCCAGGTTCAGGACTTGAACTGTGGTCAGCCATGTGGGAGTCCAGTGCCATTAACCACTACACCACTTACTGGCCCCCAGAGGGATCTTGAAGTATAAGTTAGATCACTTTATTCTGCCTCTTATCATCGTGCGGTCACATCCCCCTTGCTTCATGTAAAAGATGAAGTCTCTACAATGTCCCGTAAGTAAGGCTCGCTTTCCTGTGCCGGGTGTCCTTTCCTCATTCTGACCAATCGGCGTCCTGCTCACCAGCACCGGGGGAGTTTGATACCCCTTACCTCTCTGCCTGGCCCGCTGCTTGCCATGGGCCACTCCACTTCTGCCTGCTGCCCCCTCAGACGTGCTGTGTGTTCTTCTGTACCTCTGTATGCTCTTCCCTCTGCTTCAGTGTAGTTTCCCCCAAATACCCACATGGTCTTCATTCTGACGTTAACTTGTCAGTAAAGCCTTTTCCGAGCCCTGTGTTTAAAAGGACCTCACGCTGCCGTCTCCCATACCATATACCTTATTCTTCTTCCGTGCTCTCCCCTCGGTAGCATTTTTCACCATCTCACTTGACGTATGTTTTCTAATTTCTTACGGAAGTGTTCTATGTAGGGGGAGTTGAAAGACTAAGCTAATACCCTTGCATCTAGCACCTAGACTAACAATTATTAACATTTTGCCGTCTTTATTTTTATTTTCAACTGATCTACTTGAAAGTAAGTTCTATACAATATGTCACTTCACCCCTAAGTTGTTTCTTGTGCATCTCCTGAAGTTCTGACATTATTCTACATGTCACGGTATCACTATTACAACTAAGTCACAATCAGTTCCCTACTGTTAGCTATCTTGACAGTACTTTAGGTTTCCTAATTATTCTCAAGAGGTTATTATAGCTGATTTTATTTTACTTTTAAACTAAACATGAACTTTTTTTTTTTTTTTTTGAGAGGTTTTTCACTATAGGGCGTGTGCACTCGCCAGACAGACAGAGGGAGACAGAGAGACAGAAAGCGAGAAATCATTTTACATTGTTTTTGTTTTGTATGACTGGTTTCTTTTCTTTCTTTTTTTTTAAAAAAAAAAAAAAGAGAAAGCATCTTGCTATGTTGCCCAGGCTAGCCTTGAACTTGGAATCTTCCTGCCTCAGCCTCTTCTTTTTTTTTTTTTTGAGTGGTTTTTGCTATAGGGCACATGTGCTCTCCAGAAAGAGAGAGACAGAGGGACAGAAAGCGAGAAATCACCCCCCCCCCAGGGGGGATGGCCACACCGCAATCTCTTCTCCTCCATTCTCCTCTCGGGATCTTGGGCACATGCACACACACGCACCCGGTGTGAGTTTAAGCCACCAGGTCCAGGATTCGAATCGCAATCAACTACATCAGAGTCCAGAGACATAGCCATTACATAACTCCTGTCTCCCTCAGCCTCTTGAATAGCTGGGACTATCAGCACACTGCTTCCTTTGAATCCAGAAAAGTTCCCACTACGTTTTTTTAAGTCATTAAATTTTTTAAGAGACTAACTAAACTAGGAACCAGCAGGTGGTGTATTGGTTAAGGTGCTGGACACTCCCGCTTTGCCGACCATGGTTCAAGTCTTGGACCTGGCGGCTTGCTTTCTCATTTCCTCACTCTCTGTGTGTCTCTCTCTGGTCAAATTAAAAAACAAAAACAAACGAAAATACTAAATCGATGAATAAATAAATTAAAAAAAAGACTAACTAAACCACTTGTTTGTTAAACTGTCTCAGATTCTGGATTTTTCTGAATGTTTTTTATGATGCTGTTTATCTTGTTTTTTATTGTTTTTTTTTTTTTCTGTTTATCTTGTTTTTCAAGCTCTTGTATTTCTTACAGACTAGAAGTTAGATGTGCAGTCTTGGCTAAATTTAAACATTTTTGGCCATAATATTTTGGCTGATGCTACGAATTTAATGTTGTGTCATATCAGGAAATGAGTAAGTTTCGGGTTGTTGCAATTTTAGTGGGGCTACATTAGATTTAGCATGATGACTGCTAGTCTTTCATGGCAAGATTTTATTTTCCTTTGCAGTTTGCATATAATCCATTGGTGATTTTTTTCCTTTTTTAATTTTGCCATAGGGCAAGCATTCTTGCCAAGAGAGGAAGTGAGAAAGCACCTGTGGGGCCTGGCCACACTGTAATCTCTTCTGCGTTCTCCTCTCAGGATTTTAAGCATGTGCATACACACACACACACACACTCCCAGTGTGATTTTCAAGGCGATGGGTCTAGGATTCAAATTGTGCATTGGGCCATGTGGGATCCAGCTGCCTTGATGTCCACAACACCTACTGGCCCCTGTGGTTGATTCTTTGAAACATTCTTTTTATTTCATGTTTATGTTTTTTATTATCTGTTTCCTCACTAAGACACGGAGGAGCTTCAAATAGAATCCAGCCTTTCTAACTCTACAGCATATACCTGACCCTGTCTCAGTACCTGTCTATCCCTTACCTGGTGTTAGTGCTCATATGTGTCTGTTGTCTCGCTAGTTTGTGAACTGTCAGAGGCAGTGTCCTTATCTTACCCTTTATGTCCTTTGCAGTGCTTAGATTCGTAGTAGCTGCATGGTTTAGGCGCTAGACTCCCACATGGCTGACTGGTTCGAGTCCTGAACCTGGAGCTTGAAACATGCTGGCACATGTGAGTGTGTGCTCAAAATCCCAGGAGGAGAATGGAGGAGAAGGAGTTGCGGTGTGGTCATCTCCCCCGGGGGGTGATTTCTTGCTTTCTGTCTCTGTCTCTCTGGCAAGCACATGTGCCTATGACAAAAATCTCTCTTAAAAAAACAAAGGGCGTTAGCCTTCCTCTAACCCCCACCAAAAAACTCAAGGTCTAGATGTTGTATCCGTTGAGTATTAGAATTGGAGCAGATCTTAGTGGGGAACGTGTGGTGACTCTCCGCCCTGTGAGTAGCCCCAGTCTCCTTTAGATACAGGGAATGTTCTGTTGAAGGTTTCTTGAGCAAGTATTTTGTTCTGTCCCTGCCAGCCGCGATGAATAACTCTTCTTCAGAGACCTGTGGCCACCCTCACAATGTGTCCACACCTTCAGAACGGGTGTTGCCGATGTCCCTGCCCAGGAAGGCCGCTCTCAATGTCCCTGGCACCCCAGTCCTTGAGGACTTTCCTCAGAATGATGATGAGAAGGAACGCATACAGCGGCGGCGCTCCAGGGTGTTGGACCTGCAGTTCAGCGCAGACTCGCCTCGTCTGTTGGGCTCCCCGTCTAGTAGGTGAGGGCGTCTCTGGGCTAGCTCTCGGGGTGACCGCTGGTGGGCGTTACATGGGCTCCGTCATCACCACAGTACCTGTGGATTCAGGATCTGAGTTCTGAAGTCATAGTATCGTGGATTCTTGCCAGAGTTAGCTTTTTTTTTTTTCTTTTTTTTTTCATTTTCCACTTAGGAATATTGACATTTCTGCTACGATCCCTAAGTTTACGAACACACAGATTACAGAGCATTACTCCACCTGTATCAAACTGTCCACTGAAAATGTGAGTATCTGCTGCTTTGTTGTTGAACGTTTTTGCATCTCGATTGTGAGGAAATCTGGCTGTCTTGAGTCTGTGGAGAATGTATGACCAATGATTATTAGTTATTCTCCAGTGAGTTTTCTTAATGCTCATGTTCTTCAGAATGGTTTTCTGTTTCTTACGAACTTTGGTGCTTCTCCTACGGGTTGCCTGCTACCTGCAGTGTGTCAGAGAGGCAGCATGGCTTAGGTGTTTAGTGTGAGCTCTGGGGCTAGATAGCAGGTAGTCCAGTTCTAGGGATGATAGGCAATTCTGGGGCGTTCTGGGTGTGAGTCCTGTCTGCCACTTGTGAGCTGTGTGACCATAGTGAGTTACCTGACCACTCTGCTGCAAGGGCCTCTGTAAAATGAAGGTGAAGATAGTGCCTGCCGTGTAGATTGGAATATTCTGCGTGTGACCGAGTTTCTTTGTGTGCATGTGTAAAGCAGGGCCTGCACACAGTGACACCCAGAGACTGAGCTGTCACTGGAGGCCTTGAGAGTGTGATGCACATGCATGGATTTGGCTCTGGTGCCAAGCGTTTGTGGGAAGTGAGATCAGTGGCGAGATACCGGTCTTCCTGTGTAAAAACTTAGCTTCCACTGTATAGTGTAACGCTATTTGAATGAACCTATGCTATAAATAGCAAACCTTTCTGCAATTTTCTGTTTTTAGAAAATCACTACCAAGAATGCTTTTGGCTTGCACTTGATTGATTTTATGTCAGAGATCCTTAAACAGAAAGACACCGAGCCGACCAACTTTAAAGTAAGAGCCATGTCTACCTTCTCTTGCATCTGAATTAATGATTATTTCTAATACTTAGCATAACACTGTTACATTTTGCAAATCCATGACAGTCTTACGAGATCTTTGTCATTTTTCCTTGGGATAATTAAATAACTTAGGAAACCTGCTATGTTATGCCTGTTCAGAGGTTCTTTATTTCTTTATGTATTTTTTTAAAATTGTATGTTCATTTTCTGGAGAAAGACACAGAGGAAGTCAGAAAGCACTCCCCATGGGAGATGGTCACACTACGTTCTCTACTCTGTCTTTCCCTTCCTTTGGGATATTGAGTGTTCATGCACAGGTGCCCAGTGTGTTTTTTCTTTTCTTTCTTTTTTTTTTTTTTTTTTGAGAGTTTTCTTGCTATAGGGCACATGCATTCGCCAGAAATAGAGAGAGAGAGAGAGAGAGAGAGAAAGCAAGAAATCATTCCCCAGAGGGTATGGCCACACCGCAATCCCTTCTCCTCCATTCTCTCAGGATCTTGGGCACGCACACATGTCCCATGTGAGTTTAAACCACCGGGTCCAGGACTCAAACCGTGGTCAACTATGTGAGAGTCTAGCGACATAGCCACTATGCCAACTGCTGGTCCTCCCAGTGTGTTTTTCTAAGCTGTTGGGTCCAGGAGTCAAAACTGCATGGTTGGCCATATGGGATCCAACCACCTTAACTGCCGTGCCTCCAGCTGGCCCCTGAGCTTCTCTTCTGTGTGTCTTTATGAATAAAGCCCTGCTTGTGTGACTAGGTGGCTGCCGGCACTCTGGATGCCAGCACCAAGATCTATGCTGTGCGTGTGGATGCTGTCCATGCCGATGTGTACAGAGTCCTCGGGGGGCTGGGCAAAGACATGCCGTCTCCAGAAGACGAGGAAGCCCATGGTGCAGGTATGGAGGTTGGGATCTGGATTTCAGGGGCTTCTTATAGGGCATACCAGGTAGTTATTTGAGTTGTATAGTGGAATGAGGTTACAAGAGATTGATTATCTAATTTTATTTAAGACATGGACATTTTCAGAATCATGTTGTTAATGCATAAAAAGATACTCAAACACTAGATTTTAAAATGTTTTTGAAAAAGAAAAGCCTTATTAAAGCTTTTAAATTTTATTTAGGCAAGATTGAGTAACCATCTTTGGAGCTTCTAATTTGAGGGTCTTTGGAAATTTACTTGTATTGGCTTACTTGTGAACTACTACTTAATCTAGTAGTTTAGTTTCTCCATGAACTGCAGATTAAATATGTCTATTTCTATGAGAGCATTCACGTTGGAATTACGAACACTCTAGAGTTTTGAAGAACTTGAATTAATGAGTTCAATCACACGCTTCAAAGCAGTCCTTGTCAGATGCTATCTTATTCCTTTTTTCAGATGGAAGTGCTGCTGAAACAGGAACAGCCAAAAAGCCTCCAAAGCCAAAGAAGAAGCATTCGTGCAAAACCATTGAGCAGAACGTAAACAACCTCAATATCTCTGAAGCAGATCGAAAATGCGAGGTGAGGAACTGTTAGCAGTGTGGTCTCTGACTAATTCAGAACTTTCAGAGCCTCAGCCTAGCAGGGCTAAGCCTGCCTCACTGGTATGTGATTGTTTTAGCCTCAAGGGAGTGAAATATTCGACTGGTATCATCTCTGAGCTTTATAGAAAAGACCGAAGGTGATAAATCTCTCAGTATTTCACAACGATTGAGTAGAAAAAATCAGAAATTGCTGAAACATCTAACTGATACTTAACTTGATTTCCTGGTACATGTAGCCATGGTGACGTGCACTTATTGTGTACTTGCTGGGCACCATGTGCCTCCTACAGCCTATAACCTGTGTTAATTCATTTCATCCTCACAATAGTTTTTTTTTTTTTCTTTTCTTTATTCATGATAAAACACAGGCGTGTGGGGGAGAGGAAGAGGAGGGCACCCCCTACAGGGCCGACAGTCGTGTCGCAGTTCTCGTTCTCCAGTCCTTCAGCCCACTGCGTTCGGCACACACGTGTCTGGCATGGGGTGGACCAGGGATTCACACCACACTGTCGGTGGGATCCAGCTTCTGTTGAGCAGTGCAGTACTGCTCTGCTGTGTAGCCAGCCCAGTCCTCACAACATTCTTATTGGGTTGTCAGAAAAGTCATGATGTATTTTTTTCTGTTTTTCCAGGCAAAAATGTGTCACTTTTCCAGTGACCCAGTACATTTTATGAAGAGGTAACCGAGGCACAGGGCTGTTGAAAAATTTGTCCAAGATGACATATCAAGGAATAGAGTTTGAAGCTGTGTGGCCTAGCTCCAGAATTCTTGCTCCAAGTGACTTTAGTGTCTAGCAAACCCTAAGGAATGTGCTTAAAGAAAGGGCTCATAATTATAGCAATTTATTTAAAGCAAACAGGTGCTGCTATGAAGCTTTTTTAAAATTTTGCTATTAAAAACATAGTTTTAGGGGACCAGCAGTTAGCGTATTGGCTCTGCCGCTGGACTCCCATGTAGTCGACCGTGGTTCGAGTCCCGGACCTGGTGGCTTAAAACACGCCGGGCGCATGTGCATGCGTGCCCAAGATCCCGAGAGGAGAATGGAGGAGAAGGGATTGCGGCATGACCATCCCCCCCTGGGGGGTGATTTCTCGCTTTCTGTCTCTCTGTCTCTCTCTGTCTGTCTAGTGAGCACATGCATGCACCCTATAGCAAAAACCTCTCAAAAAAAAACAAACATAATTTCAGGGGCTGGCAGGTGGCGTGGTGGTTAGGGTGGCTGGACTCCCACATAGCTGACCATGGTTCGAGTCCAGACCTGGCAGCTTGCTTTCTCACTTTCCTTCTCTCTCTCTGGTCAACTTCAATTAAAAAAAAAATGACAATGGACAAAAGAAATTAAATAATTCTTTAAAAATATATAGTTTTAGTGAACATTCTTGTACATATTATCTTTGCACTTTTTTATTTTATAATTTTTTTTTTTTTGGAGAGGTTTTTGCTATAGAGCACGTGGGCTCACCAGACATATATAGAGAGACAGAGAGACAGAAAGCGAGAAATCACCCCCGGGGGGGATGGCCACGCCGCAGTCCCTTCTCCTCCATTCTCCTCTCGGGATCTTGGGCACGCACACACACGTGCCCCCCATGAGTTTTAAGCCACCGGGTCCGGGACGTGAACTGCGGTCGACTACGAGGGAGTGCAGCAACATATCCATTACACTAACTGCTGGTCCCTATTTTATAAATTTTTTTAGAATTATATTATTTAACCTTATTTATCTATTTATTTTAATTTGACCAGAGAGGGAGGGAGGGAGGGAGAGAGAGAGAAAGAAAGTGAGAAAGCAAGCCTACAGGTCTGGGACTTGAACTGCGGTCACCCAAATGGGAGTCCAATGCCCTTAACCATCATGCTACCTGCCAGCCCCTATTTTATAAACTTATTTTAGACTTTTGCGATACGGTGCTTGCATTCGCCAGAGAAAGACAGAAAGAGAGGGAAAGTGAAGGATGGCCATGCCATAGTCCCTTTCCCTCCATTCTCCTCTCGGGATTTTGGGCAGGCATGCACATGCGCCTGGCGTATTTTCAAACCACCAGGTTCAAGACTCAAACCATGGAGTTGGCCATGTGGGATCCAACCTTGCAACCACCATGTCACTTGCTAATCCTCTTGGCACTCTTCTGGGATTTATTTATTTATTTAGGGGAAAGATTTTCGCTATAGGGCACGTGCACTCGCCAGACAGAGAGAGACTTAGAGACAGAAAGCGAGAAATCACCCTCTGGGGGTGATGGTCACACCGTAATCCCTTCTCCATTCTCCTCTCTGGATCTTGGGCACGCACGCACACACGCCTGGCATGAGTTTTAAGCCACTGGGTCCAGGACGCGAACCGTGGTCGACTATGTGGGAGTCCAACAACATAGCCATTACACTAACTGCTGGTTCCCCTGGGATATATTTATAAGAAAATTGTGAGTCATGAAATTTCAGTGGCCCTCACAAAAAGGATTATACCAGTTTACCCTCCCACCAGCAATGAGCTAGATTACTTTTGTCTCATCTCCCCAACACCCATAAATGGGGATTAAGTTCAGAAGACTGGGATTGATCATCAAAGGAATGAGTCTATATGGACAAAAAAAGGACTGAGCCATGTGCTTCCTTAATCTTAGGAGTTCAGGGAACCAGCAGTTGGCGTAATGGTTATGTCACTGGACTCCCATGTAGTCGACCGCAGTTTGAGTCCCGGATCTGGTGGCTTAAGCTCACGCTGGGTGTGTGCGTGCCCAAGATGCCAGGAGGAAAATGGAGGAAAAGGGATTGCGGTGCGGCCATCCTCCCTGGGGGGTGATTTCTTGCTTTCTCTCTGGTGAGCACATGTGCATTATAGCAATAAACAAAAAACAAACAAAAACCTCTCAAACTTAGGAGTTCAGAGAGCCAAAGAAACATCTAGTAGGTCATAGAATTGTAATCCAGAAGAATTTGGTATCCAAATGAGAAAGTATTTTGGGGGGATGGTCAACTATGTTGAATGTGACAGCCTGAGGCCACAAGTGAGCCTGGAGAAGGGATCCTCTGGAACTCAAAACTCAGATCTCCAAGGAAGGGGTGCTACTTGACTAGTGCTGATGTCCCTGAGTTTAGGGAACAGGTCTGAGCAAGGCACGCTGGCTGGTGCTGGTGTTAGAGAGGCACACAATGAGCCTGGTTCTTTGAGTCTCTGCACACTGGGTTCAGGTAGTAGTAGGCCCTCCTGCAGCTGGGGTGCAGATGCAGTGCTGGCCAGCACTCACAGAAACAGGAAGCCTGCCAGGAGCAAGCCTCTTCCTCCTGGAGCCCCGCGTTCTCCCTCTAATGCCCCCTATTGGGAGACCCAGACCCAGCATCCCGGAGCAGAAGAGAGAACATCCATTTAGAGCGAGGGGCCAATAACTTAATACTTGGCGCACCCAGGCCAAGTGTCATGAGATCTGCTTTCAGAAGGTTCCAGAATGGGAAAACACACAAACACACACACACACACACACACACACACACACACACAACACACACGTTCAAAATGTCATCCATTGAAATCTAGGTAGAAGTTATACAGAGATTCATATTACTATTCTTTTTACTTTTTTTTTGGTAGTTTGCCAGAGGGCTCACATACTTCTGAGAGAAAGGGTGAGAGAGAGAAAGTGAGAAAGCACCTCACCTTAGGGTGACTGAATTGTAGTTCCTTCTCTACCTCTTCTTCCTTTGGGAATTTTGAGTGTGCACGTTAATGTGCCCAGCATGTTTTTCAAGCTGCCGGGTCTGGGACTCAGATTGCAGTCAACTGTGCGAGCTCCAGCTGCCCTAACCACCATGCCACAGCCTGGACCTCTTGCAGGTTTGAAGTTTTTTTGTGATAAATGGGGGGAAAAAAGAGGGGCATGCTGAAGACACTGAATATGGGTCGTGGTTTGTTTTGAAGAGTTTTGCTGTAAATCGGGCCAGAGTAATGGAATGAAAAATGGAGAGGAAAATGAACTCAAAAGTTTTGTTTGTATTTTAAATGGGAGGATGAGCAGCGTGCTTTCTTGTTGGTGGCAGAAGCCTAGTGACGAAGGAATTATTGATGGTACACAGAAGAGAAGAATTGCCAGGGCAGCATCTGAGAGCAGGCAAAGAGGAAAAGGAGTGGGCATTATCAGCGGGCGTGGCTCGGGAGCACCCAGCTAGAGGAGACGGGGCTTGTGTGTGTGTTTGGGAGCCTTCTGGATGTTGTCTCGTGGTGTCTCTTCTTCCCCCTGCAATGAAATAGGAAGCCAGGTTGTCAGCCGACAGTGAGTACGGGGATACGGGGGAGGAGGGCATTGGAGGTGTGAGGAAAAGGTAGGAGGGTGGGCCAGTGAAGGGACTAGGGAAATACAAGTTCGATTGCCAGGCAAGGCTTAGGGTTTACTGAGGATGGGGGCAGATGGGTTTCAGGTGAGATCAGTCAGCTGGTCATGACCGGGTCTTGCCAACCATGATTGGCTGTGTGGGTACAAGCATGGGGCAGGCAGAAAGGTGGATTTAACAGGGGGTTGTGTGACAGCACGAAAGGGGCACTGAGTTAAGAGCATGTGCAAGGGGGTAGTTGTAATCACTCCTTAAAATTTACATGGGAAAGGGGGATGAGGGACAGTGTAAAGCAGCGTGGTCAGTCAATTGTGGGGCCTGCTGGGGTCTAAGACCCCATGGTGATGGGGACAGGAGGTGACCATTGGAGAGAGGCCCTTGGAATTGAGCATATGGAGAGGTGGCTGTCGGGGTTGATTCAGCTTGGAGAACAGGCAAGGAAGCAGAGGCTGAGGCAACGTGAGGGTCTTCCTAGGATCTCAGAGTCCTAGTCTTAGGTGAAGGACGAGACATTGAAGGCCAGGAGATCAAGTGACTTTAGAGTCCAGAATACCAGGCTGGTCAACAGAGATAAAGAAGTTGTGGGAACCAGCAGTTAGTGTAATGGCTATGTCGCTGGACTCCCGCGTAGTTGGCCGCAGTTCGTGTCC